GTTCTGCCTTCACCCCTCCTCACCCTCCCCTCCCGGTTTTGTCTCTCGCCTCTCTTCAGAACCAAAGATGCAATAATGCATTAGGATTCAAGTAATTATTGCTTCCACGCTCCTTGCCTAAATTGAAACGACAAATCCTGATTTAGATGTATCGTTGACTGTGTTGTGAAAACCCGGACAACGGGTTGTGATCTTTAGATAGGGAAACAAACGCGACACCTTGGGTGTTGTCTAAACGGGATCCTTGGGACGTCCCAACTCTGACGTCACCCCATTGAAGTTTAAATTTAAAACGGTTAAGTTTAGTTTAGTTTATCAGGATCAACATTAGCTACTGCACATGTAGCAGCTACTCTTCCTGGGGTCCACATAAAACGTAGGCTACAAATACATGACAAAGTATATTATAGACAAGAACAACATAATATATTACATTAAATTCCAAATAAAATGTTTAAATAAGAGTTATTTATTGGAAAGACTCCAAGAGACAACAAAAATACTATTTACACACAATTCATATATGCATATTCATATTCTTATATGCAGTACACTTAAATTTGATCTTTAGAATTAGGAGAGGCGCTGTGAAACAATATGTTTTTTATCTGTTTTCTAAAGCTAAACTTGCTTTTTGCTCAAGTAACCTCTGGTGGCAGAGCTTTCCATGATAACATGGCTCTATATATAACTGAGCAATGCATGATATCTTTTTTGGTTTGGGTATGGTGAAGAAACCATAGTAGCATGTCTGGTGGGGTATGTATGTCTGTTTGAAGTGTATGCAAATAGATTGTACAAGTGGTTAGGCATTTTCAACACACAAATGTTTCTTCAAAAGAATAGAAGAGAAGTAGTCAATTTCTCCTCAACCCTCAACCATGAAAGACTATCATGCATGTTGTTGATGTTAGTTCTGTGTGTGCAGTTAAGGGCAAGGCGTGCTGCTTTGTTTTGAGCTCAGGTGTGTGGTGCGTCTGGCTATTATATGAAGGCAGTTTCTGGCAAGACTCCCGTACATGTCAGATCGATAGCAAGCCAGCAAGTGGCTCTGCGAACGCGAAGCCAAGCCTAGGCGGGCGCGTTCCGGACTCCGTTCAAGGACAAGTCAGGTTACTAGCCGGTTTTCGCCGGTTAGGTGGCGCTCCTCACGACTGCATCCAAATATAGGGTCTCCTCTCCGCCACTGCAGCGTCGCAATGGTGACCAAAGAGACTAATGTGTTGTCACAAGTGGCAGTTGCTTGAGGCAATGTTCTTCTTTTTTTATGGATTGGACTTTACATAAAAAGGCTTCATCTATGTTTTGATCCGCTGGTGAGAATTGCATGCACTTTTGATGAATAGGCTAGGCTATGTGGACAACTACAAATACCTAGGTGTCTGGTTAGACCGTAAACTCTCCTTCCAGACTCACATTAAGCATCTCCAATCCAAAGTTAAATCAAGGGCGGCAGGTAGCTTAGTGGTTAAGAGCGTTGTGCCAGTAACCAAAAGGTCGCTGGTTCTAATCCCCGAGCCGACTACGTGAAAAATATGTCGATGTGCCCTTGAGCAAGGCACTTAACCCTAATTGCTCTGGATAAGAGCGTCTGCTAAGTGACTAAAAATGTAAATGTAGACTCGGCTTCCTATTTCGCAACAAAGCCTCCTTCACTCATGCTGCTAAACATGCCCTCATAAAACTGACTATCCTACCGATCCTTGACTTCGGCGATGTCATTTACAAAATAGCTTCCAACACTCTACTCAGCAAATTGGATGTAGTCTATCACAGTGCCATCCGTTTTGTCACCAAAGCCCCATATTCTACCCACCACTGTGACCTGTACGCTCTCGTTGGCTGGCCCTCACTACATATTCGTCGCCAAACCCACTGGCTCCAGGTCATCTATAAATCTCTTCTAGGCAAATCCCCGCCTTATCTTAGCTCATTGGTCACCATAGCAACACCCACCCGTAGTCTGCGCTCCAGCATTTATATCTCACTGGTCATCCCCAAAGCCAACACCTCCTTTGGTCGCCATTCCTTCCAGTTCTCTGCTGCAAATGACTGGAACGAACTGCAAAAATCTCTGAAGCTGGAGACACTTATCTCCCTCACTATCTTTAAGCATCAGTTGTCAGAGCAGCTTACCGGTCACTGCACCTGTACACAGCCCATCTGTAATTAGCCCACCCAACTACCTCCTCCCCATATTGTTATTTACACTGTTATTTATTTTGCTCATTTGCACCCCAGTATCTCTATTTGCACATCATCTTCTGCACATCTATCACTCCAGTGTTAATACTAAATTGTAATTATTTTGCACTATGGCCTATTTACTACATTTGCACACACTGTATATAGATTTTCTATTGTGTTATTGACTGTATGTTTAGTTTATTCCATATGTAACTCTGTGTTGTTGTTGTTTTTATCGCACTGCTTTGCTTTATCTTGGCCAGGTCGCAGTTGTAAATGAGAACTTGTTCTCAATTGGCTTACCTGGTTAAATAAAGGTGAAATAAATAAAATATAAAAATATAAAAATGTCCTTGGTGCTGAAACAACAAAGAGCATATCAAGTGGGAATAGGCTATGATTTATCCTGAACAAAAATATAAATGCAACATGTAAAGTGTTGGTCCCATGTTTCATGTGCTGAAATAAAAGATCCCAGAAATGTTCCATACTCACAAAAAGCTTATTTATCTAAACTGTTGTGCACAAATTTGTTTACATCCCTGTTAGTGAGTATTTCTCATTTGCCAAGATAATCCATCCACCTGACAGGTGTGGCATATCAAGAAGCTGATTAAACAGCATGATCTTTACACAGGTGCACCTTGTGCTGGGGTGTGCCCAAGAACACCAAAGTAACCTGCCTAAATGTCTACCGACCCATGGCACTCACGTCTGTAGCCATGAAGTGCTTTGAAAGGCTGGTCATGGCTCACATCAACACCATCATCCCAGAAACCCTAGACCCACTCCGATTTGCATACCACCCCAACAGATGACACGATCTCTATTGCACTCAACACTGCCCTTTCCCACCTGGACAAAAGGAACAGCTACGCGAGAATGCTGTTCATTGACTACAGCTCAGCGTTCAACACCATAGTGCCCTCAAAGCTCACCCCTATGCTAAGGACCCTGGGATTAAACACCTCCCTCTGCAACTGGATCCTGGACTTCCTGACGGGCCACCCCCAGGTGGTGAGGGTAGGCAACAACACGCTGATCTTCAACACGGGGGCCCCTCAGGCGTGCGTGCTTAGTCCCCTCCTGTACTCCCTGTTCACCCATGACTGAGTGGCCAAGCATGACTCCATCACCATCATCAAGTTTGCTGACGACACAACACTGGTACGCCTGATCACCGACAACGATGAGACAGCCTTTAGGGAGGAGGTCAGAGACCTGGCAGTGTGGTTCCAGGACAACAACCTCTCCCTCAACGTGAGCAAGACAAAGGAGATGATCGTGGACTACAGGAAAAAGGAGGGCTGAGCACCGACGGGGCTGTAGTGGAGCAGGTTGAGCGCTTCAAGTTCCTTGGTGTCCACATCACCAACAAACTAACATGGTCCAAACAGACCAAGACAGTCGTGAAGAGGGCACGACAACAGGTCTACACCTGTTGTATTCGGCACATGTGACAAATAACATTTGATTTGACAAATAAAAGGCCACTCTAAAATGTACAGTTTTGTCACACAACACAATGCCACAGATGTCTCAAGTTTTGAGGGAGCGTGCAATTGGCATGCTGACAGCAGATGTCCACCAGAACTGTTGCCAGATAATTTAATATTAATTTCTCTACCATAAGCTGCCTCCAACGTCATTTTAGAGAATGTGGAAGTACGTCCCACCACGTGTAACCACGCCAGCCTAGGACCTGATGAAACTGAGGAGTATGTCTGTAATAAAGCCCTTTTGTGGGGAAAAACCAATTCTGATTGGCTGGGCTTGGCTCCTCAGTGGGTGGGTCTGGCTCCCAAGTGGGTGGGCCTATGCCCTCCCAGGCCCATCCATGGCTGTGCCACTGCCCAGTCATGTGAAATCCATAGATTAGGGACTAATTAATTTATTTCAATTGACTGATTTCCTTATATGAACTGTAACAAATTGTTGCATGTCGCGTTTATATTTTTGCTCAGTATGGATTAAAACAAATGGTACAGTAATTCACAGCATTTCCAGATATTATTGAAGGAAGGAACTCAAGTGTTAAGCAATTCCCCACCAACAACCAAATTTGTTTTCTCACAGTCGCATATGACACTGCTATTTGCTGAACATTGCATCCCAACTTAAAAAGCTGAGTTGAGTATGTTGTGTCATTCGTACATTCTGACCACAAAGACAAGTCAATAGCATAGTCTTCTTGGTGCTTCAGCACGTGCCAGCCAGAAAAGGGGATCGATAGATATGATCATTCATAAAATGGTGAAGTGACATGATGGTATATAAACAGTTTTATTTGTCTACATGACAGGAATACAATCAACAACTGTATCTAAAAGGCACAATAGTTTATAGTAGAAAACTAAATGTCTGTTGTATACTGTATACAAATCTCCATGTCAATATCAATTAGACCTATAGCCCTATGTATAAAGATAACTACATATAGACAAAGAATACTAAGCTGCAAATACAATACAAAGAAGCATAAGAGTACCCAATTGCCTACAGTAAGGAGATTGATATAGCAAGTTTTAAAATGTAGACCTCAGAGAGATGTGAATGCTTATGACATCACACACTTCCTTCTGTATCCCTCCTCTCCATTCTCTCACTCATTTGTCCTCCTCTCGTCCTTGCTCCCCCTTTCTCTCCCTTTTTCATCTTGCATTCTTTATTTTTCCTCCTTCCTTTTTCTTTTCTCTGACAGTGAAACTGACTACCGGTATTCATTATTTCTTTTTTCTTCCTCTCCCCTGTCTGTCTGTTTTGTCCTCCTCCTCCTACTCCTCCTCCTCCTCCTCCTCCTCCTCCTCCTCTGTTCACTGTGCCATTTGGACCACGACCGCCTTCCAGGCCTTGTCTTTGTCAAAGTCCCGCAGTGTTCCGTTGGATGCTTGTTGCTGAGTGAACAAGATGGAGGGAGGGAAGAGGGGAGAGGGAAGAGGGGATGGATAGGAAAGGAGAGGAGAGAAGAGAAGTTGGAAAATAAAATTGAGAGACAGAGCAGAGACAGTTATACAGTACTTTGTCACTGCAGTCTACACGCCGTCAATGCACAACATACTGTTTCTCCATGAATGACCAGCTTAGATATAAGCCTCACACCTCCTCAGACGTCAGTGGCATTCCCAGAGAGCTGGTGCATCTCTCACCTCAGTATGTCAAAGTATCAGTGACTCTTCATCAGTGACTCTTCATCAGTGAACCTTCATCAGTGAGTCAAAGAGCACAACATCTCATCTGCTAAAGATGTGTGTGTGTGCGTGCGTGCGTGCATGCGTGTTTGAGAGAGAGGCAGCAAGAGGGAGAAAGAGAGCGAGAGAGAAAGAGAGAGAGAGGGGAGAGAGAGACTGTATGCAGTGTGTGCAGCGCAATAGGAGAGTGTTGGTCCTAGTTCATATCTGTGGGAATCTTCATGTCAATGGGAATCTTCATGTCTATGGGAATCTTCATGTCTATGGGAATCTTCATGTCTATGGGAATCTTCATGTCAATGGGAATCTTCATGTCTATGGGAATCTTCATGTCTGTGTGAATCTTCATGTCTATGTGAATCTTCATGTCTATGTGTTACAGGAGTGGGTCGCAGTTCCGGAGCGACCCACTAGGTGTCATCCTCCGACAACCATAGCCACCTCCTCACTCACAGTCGGGACTAATTATCTGCCTATTTGTGTCACCTGTGGCTATCTGATTCACTTGTGTATTTATGCCCTCACTTCCCTGTGTTCCCTTGCTCAGTTTTCTCTGCTAGTTCCTTGATGTCAAGCAGTACGTATCAGTGTCGGATCACGTGACGGAGTTACAGGTACTCGAGAAGTGTTCTAGCTGTGTCATTGTGTTTTTCCAGTCAGAGCTAGTATTTCGTATTGTTTGCTGTCAGCCTGTTTTTTGGAGACCTATATGCTCCTCATTTGTTTCGTGTATAGTCCGTTGTTTTGTATCCTGGCTTTTGGACCACCAGGAAAGATCCTTGTTTCACCATCGTTGCCTACTGTCTATCCTGCACCGCACCTGGGACATACCTCACACCGACCCTTACATCTATGTGAATCTGCATGTCTGTGTGAATCTGCATGTCTGTGTGAATCTGCATGTCTGTGTGAATCTGCATGTCTGTGTGAATCTGCATGTCTGTGTGAATCTGCATGTCTGTGTGAATCTGCATGTCTGTGTGAATCTGCATGTCTGTTTGAATCTGCATGTCTGTGTGAATCTGCATGTCTGTGTGAATCTGCATGTCTGTGTGAATCTGCATGTCTATGTGAATCTGTATGTCTGTGTGAACAGCATCTACTGTATGTGTGTGTACCTCTGAGTGGAGGGCTGGGAGCTGCAGGCTGTCATCCCACTCTGGAGCCCCCATGCGGAGTTGGCTCTTGTAGGAGGCACAGTGCACCACTGTGGCCAGAGTCAGAACTGCCTGCACCAGCAGCAGCACCATCAGAATTAGCAGCAGGATCTCATACGATTGCTAGGGATACACACATACATATTGTATTGGAACACCATCTGAGTTACAACCACAGAGCCATTCTTGAGCATGTTGAATGTCTCTTTCTCAAAACTTTGGATTCACTCACTATCTGAGTTACAACCACCACATGAAAAGCTCTGTATGATTTTACATTTCATTGAATTTCTAGATGGTCATTAGTTATATCTTTTCTCAAAAATGTTGGACTCACAAGTGACAATGACTTTGAGTTGGAGGCTGACCTGAGGCAGTCCTACTGAACTCATCCTATTTACACAGACTCTACCTACAGTATCACGAGCACTAGGCAGCTCACCTTGGCTGTAGGCACCTCATGCAGGAAGATGTCAATGAAACTGAGCACACTGCAGGAGAGAAAGCCTGAGGCTGAGAAGAGAAGCGGGGACGTCACACTGCTGATGGCAATCAGCATCTCCACCTGAGAGGCGGGGGGGGATAGATAGTCTTCAGTGGGGCAATGGTTGAGCATGACGCCTGTCCAGAATACATAACCTTTAGAAACTTACCAGACACTTGTTGGGGTATTCTGCCACGACATGGCTGGCAATGGCACTGGGGAAACACTGCAGAGACAGGGACCAAAATAGAGGCACAGGTGATTCAGTCTTTCACCCATTGCTGAGTCAGGCAGACTATTGGGTCATGCATAAAGACTGGGATGTGTCTGGAAACAATTTGTCTCTTTGGTGGGGTACAAAACATTTTGGAACCACTGTTATATAGACCAATTGTAACACATGCAGCTTAACTCACAGCCACTAAGATCCAGAAAAAGGTGACAGACAGGTATGGGCCAGGGAGCAAGAGGTCCATGTTGAGAGCGATGATACCACCAAACACGGACGAGATTCCTACTATCACCTCAATCACCTGTCAGAAAACAGCAGTGACTATTGGGATGCCATATCAACACTAGTGTAAGTGATTCCTACTATCACCTCAATCACCTGTCAGAAAACAGCAGTGACTATTGGGATGCCATATCAACACTGGTGTAAGTGATGAACAACAATGTAGCCGGTGTATGTGTGATGTTTCAATGTACAAACATTATAAGCCCCATATACTACCCACCATTGTGACCTGTACGCTCTTGTTGGCTGGCCCTCACTACATATTCGTCGCCAAACCCACTGGCTCCAGGTCATCTATAAATCACTGCTGGGCAAATCCCCGTCTTATCTTAGCTCACTGGTCACCATAGCAACACCCACCCGTAGTCTGCGCTCCAGCAGGTATATCTCACTGGTCATCCCCAAAGCCAACACCTCCTTTGGCCGCCATTCCTTCCAGTTCTCTGCTGCCAATGACTGGAACGAACTGCAAAAATCTCTGAAGCTGGAGACTCTTATCTCCCTCACTAACTTAAAGCATCAGTTGTCAGAGCAGCTTACCGATCACTGCACCTGTACACAGCCATTCTGAAATTAGCCCACCCAACTACCTCATCCCCATATTGTTATTTATTTTGCTAATTTGCACCCCAGTATCTCTATTTGCACATCATCTTTTGCACATCTATCATTCCAGTGTTAATACGAAATTTTAAGTATTTTGCACTATGGCCTATTTATTGCCTTACCTCCATAACTTACTACATTCGCACACACTGTATATATATTTTCTGTTGTATTTTTGACTTTATGTTTTGTTTACCCCATATGTAACTCTGTGTTGTTGTTTTTATCGCACTGCTTTGCTTTATCTTGGCCAGGTCGCAGTTGTAAATGAGAACTTGTTCTCAACTGGCTTACCTGGTTAAATAAAGGTGAAATAAAAAAATAAAAATAAATATCCACTGTTAGGAGTACATAGCAGAATGTGTAATGATGTGTCTCGTTCATGAACTCAGTGTCTATGTACTCACAGAGTAGGCCTTTAGAAGTCGAGTGGGAAAGATGGCTGGGCTCAGAACCACAGGACCGTCATACATCACTGGCTGAGGGAGAGAAAAGGAGAGAGAAGGAGGGGGAACAAAGTGGGTGAGAGGGAGAATCAGGAAGAGAGAGAACATACAGTGCGGAGGGAGTGGGAGAGAGACATGCAGACAAACAATCCTACACAGCACAGTACAAAAAACAGTACAGCCAACACATGCACATACTATATACTGTTTCCCAGCTATAACAATAACACACACACACACACCTTCCTGTGGCTACAGCAGTCCTCTGCAGAGCGTGCAGACAGGATGACTGTACTGGCCATCAGCACCTCCAGCAGAATCAGCAGGATGAGGTTAAAGTTGATCTGAACAACGGCAGGCCATGGGAGGGAAACAGAGGAGGGAAGAGAGACTGTCAGAGACAGGGAGAGAGATTCATTCAACATCTGTATCCTACAACACACACGTGGGTGTGTGTGTGTGATTATAATACAAGTCAGGTGTTAGCGTATTATGCAAACAAACTATTGAAGCCCCTTAAAGCTTTGCCTTACGGCAACTATATCTAGGGTACACACAGATGAGAAAATCAGATCGGCTGTAGACTCACATTGACAGCAGAGGGACTCAACACCAGCTTACAGCCAAACCACACCAGGCAGGTGGTCGTCACAGCAAAGGTGGACACAAATACCACCTGGAAATCTGACACCTGTCAATCCAGATGTACAATATATTATTAGCACCTGTATCACGGACATGTTGACAGTATTAAGGGGACATGTTGACAGTATTAAGCACTAACTCAGTGGCCCCTGGACAACATTCATGCAACAAATACACATTTGCTCATTGAGTAGTGTAAGCCTATTTGTTGTGTACTCACTGCAACATGATGGTTTTTGGCAATGGCAAAGCTGACAACTGCTGCCGGGATACTCTGAAACAAAGACACACACAAATATTAATCTCACAGAGCCAGATGAAAGTTTCTCATAATATTGCATATACTACTCTGTAGCTTTCAAGTCTGGCACGCAAGATTACACAAATATAGTACATACACTACCAGTCAAAAGTTTTAGAACACCTACTCATTCAAGGGTTTTTCTTTATTTTGACTATTTTCTACATTGTAGAATAATAGTGAAGACATCAAAACTATGAAATAACTAATATGGAATCATGTAGTAACCAAAAAAGTGTAAAACAAATCAAAATATATTTTAAATTTGAGATTCTTCAAATAGCCACCCTTTGCCTTGATGACAGCTTTGCACACTCTTGGCATTCTCTCAACCAGCTTCATGAGGTAGTCACCTGGAATGCATTTCAATTAACATGTGTGTATACAGAAGATAGCCCTATTTGGTAAAAGACCAAGGCCATATTGTGGCAAGAACAGCTCAAATAAGCAAAGAGAAACAACAGTCCATCATTACTTTAAGACATGAAGGTCAGTCAATACAGAAAATGTCAAGAACTTTGAAAGTTTCTTCAAGTGCAGTTGCAAAAACTATCAAGCGCTATGATGAAACTGGCTCTCATGAGGACCGCCATAGGAATGGAAGACCCAGAGTTACCTCTGCCACAGAGGATAAGTTCATTAGAGTTACCAGCCTCAGAAATTGCAGCCCAAATAAATACTTCACAGAGTTCAACATCAACTGTTCAGAGGAGACTGTGTGAATCAGGCCTTCGTGGTCGAATTGCTGCAAAGAAACCACTACTAAAGGACACCAATAAGAAGAAGAGACTTGCTTGGGCCAAGAAACACGAGCAATGGACATTAGACCGATGGAAATCTGTCCTTTGGTCTGGAGTCCAAATTTGAGATTTTTGGTTCCAACCGCTGTGTCTTTGTGAGACGCGGTGTGGGTGAACAGATGATCTCCGCATGTGTATTTCCCACCGTAAAGTATGGAGGAGGAGGTGTTATGGTGTGGGGGTGCTTTGCTGGTGACACTGTCTGTGATTTATTTAGAATTCAAGGCACACTTAACCATTATGGCTACCACAGCGTTCTGCAGCGATACGCCATCCCATGTGGTTTGGGCTTAGTGGGACTATCATTTGTTTTTCAACAGGACAATGACCCAACACACCTCCAGGCTGTGTAAGGGCTATTTTACCAAGAAGGAGAGTGATGGAGTGCTGCATCAGATGACCTGGCCTCCACAATCCCCCGACATCAAACAAATTGAGATGGTTTGGGATGAGTCGGACCGCAGAGTGAAGGAAAAGCAGCCAACAAGTGCTCAGTATATGTGGGAACTCCTTCAAGACTGTTGGAAAAGCATTCCAGGTGAAGCCGGTTGAGAGAATGCCAAGAGTGTGCAAAGCTGTCATCAAGGCAAAGGGTGGCTATTTGAAGAATCTCAAATATAAAATATATTTTGTTTAGTTTAACACTTTTTTGGTTACTGCATGATTCCATATGTGTTATTTCATAGTTTTGATGTCTTCACTATTATTCTACAATGTAGAAAATAGTGAAAATATAGTGTGGTATCGCGTCGAATGCTGGTGGGTATTGCTGTCAATCAAAGAATCCGCTTAGGCTGCACCGTGTTTTAGAGGCTTTTATTAATATCACGAGGTTACAGCATAAGTTACAGACCCGCGATGTCTGGAGAAGTCCCGTCCCAAATTAATCTGAATGCTTCTGACTTTTCCTTTGTCTAACCCATACTTATAAACAATGGCAATAAATGGGTTGCTCCCTTTTTCGTCCAATCACCGGTCTCCCCTGGAGCGTCACCCTCCCACTGCTACATTCAAACTAAGATAAACAGTTCTTCTTTGTCCCTCAAGACTTGTCATAATCTTCATACACGACAATAGAAAAACCTTTGAATGAGTAGGTGTTCTAAAACTTTTGACCAGTAGTGTACACTCAATATTGGCTTGCCTGCGGTGCTGTGCTGTCTCACAGGCACCAGGTCCTAAATGTTTTTGTAATTGGGGAGATTTGTCTTTGTTATAATGAACATGATTAGAATCATGTGTCTCTGCTCTTGTAAGGGTCTGTCAATGGTTATATTTTGAAGCTACTGTACAAGTAACGATGATGATCATAATCATAATAACGATCATGAGGATCAGCCTGTTTTCAGACTCTGGTCAGCTGATAGCCACTCACCGAGCCTGCAGCACAGCGCAGGTAGTCCATAGCAGCAGGAAACACATTGCCCAGGTAGAGTGAGAAGCCTGCTGTGACCAACAGACTGCTCTGTGAACCACACACACACACACGCACGCACGCACACACGCACATACACACACACACACACACACACACACACACACACACACACACACACACACACACCACACAGTGGTTAGCACGTAAACTGCCTAGAGGAGAGTTCACTTACCAAAAGGTTGTCCCCTGTTCTCTTTTCTCTCACCCCTGGGAGTATGTTGTACATTCCCCCCTTTGAGGGATGATTTTATGCTCTTGTTTTTCTGCCTTCAAATCAGAATGTGAATGGAATAACCAGGTGTGTGGGCTCTCTCTAACCAATCAATGGCATTGAGTAATCAATTACAGTAAGTGCCTAGGACAAACCAAAACAGCAGCACTGTGTTTTTAGAATACCAGAGTTGTCCAACCCTTTAACTCTTGACCTCCCGACCTCTCACCCCAATGAGGACGCTGTAGAGCCAGGTCCTGTAGCTGAGGCAGGGGTGCATGGGCTTCTCAGAGTGGGCAAGCTGCAGGTCACTGGCCCTCACGTCCACCGTGTAGCTCTCCGGCCGGTCCCTCTCCGCACACCCCCGCCGGCCCACCGTACCCCCGCCAACCCCTCTCTCCAGCGTGGGCATCTGGGTGTAGCTGAACTCCTCCATGGCAGACAGATCGTCCCGTTGCATCATGTTGAGAGATGAGTGACAGCGCCCCCAGATAGTCAAATGGGACGGTCACGCTGGGTCTGAGGAACCTGTGTGTGTCTGGCAGAGCGGACATTAACCTTTTACTGCAGTGGGTTAAATCAGGGTCACACAAAGTGTTTCTTGGTAGTCTTAAACAAATCTACTTAGAAACAAAAGTATACACCTCACACACATGGTAATGGGCTTACAAAAAAAATGACACCTTTACCATGTCAGATATGGAGTTGAAATGTGTTTCAATTTTGAGTTTGTATCCCAATATTACACTTTATATACATCACAGAAGACTGAAATATAACTAGACTGAAAAAAAAAAAATATATTGTTAGGGATCCCCATTAGCTGTTGTCAAGGCAGCAGCTACTCTTCCTGTGGTCCAAACACATTAAGGCACTTACATTGCACATAAAACAAAATATAAAAAAGTACATCATATAACATTATTACACAACTACATATCTACAATACAATGTATAATACCCCCATACAGCGTTATTTTAATGTAGGTGTGTGTAGAATGTTAGCGTTTGTTTGCATATGCACATGTCTGTACTTGTGTGTGTGTGTCTCTTCACAGTCCCCACTGTTCCATAAGGTGTATTTGTATCTGTTTTTTAAAATCTGATTCTACTGCTTGCATCAGTTACCTGATGTGGAATAGAGTTCCATGTAGTCATGGCTCTATGTAGTACTGTGCGCCTCCCATAGTCTGTTCTGGATTTGGGGATTGTGAAGAGACCTCTGGTGGCATGTCTTGTGGGGTATGCATGGATGACCGAGCTGTGTGCTAGTAGTTTAAACAGATACCTCTGTACATTCAGCTTGTCAACACTTCTTACATAAACAAGTAGAGATGAAGTCAATCTCTCCTCCACTTTGAGCCATGAGAGATTGACATGCATATCATTAATGTTAGCTCCCTGTGTACATTTAAGGGCCAGCCGTGCTGCCCTGTTCTGAGCCAATTGCAATTTTCCTAAGTCCCTCTTTGTGGCACCTGACCACACGACTGAACAGTAGTCCAGGTGCGACAAAACTAGGGCCTGTAGGACCTGCCTTGTTGACAGTGTTGTTAAGAAGGCAGAGCAGCGCTTTATTATGGACAGACGTCTCCCCATTTTAGCTACCGTTGTATCAACATGTTTTGACCATGACAGTTTACAATCCAGGGTTACTCCAAGCAGTTTAGTCACCTCAACTTGCTCAATTTCCACATTATTCATTACAAGATTTAGTTGAGGTTTAGGGTTTAGTGAACGATTTGTCCCAAATACAATGCTTTTGTTTTTTAAATATTTAGGACTAACTTATTCCTTGCCACCCATTCTGAAACTAACTGCAGCTCTTTGTTAAGTGTTGCAGTCATTTCAGTCGCTGTAGTAGCTGACATGTATAGTGTTGAGTCATCCGCATATATAGACACACTGGCTTTACTCAATGCCAGTGGCATGTCGATAGTAAAGACTGAAAAAAGTAAGGGGCCTAGACAGCTGCCCTGGGGAATTCCTGATTCTACCTGGATTATATTGGAGAGGCTTCCATTAAAGAACACCCTCTGTGTTCTGTTAGACAGGTAACTCTTTATCCACAATATAGCAGGGGGTGTAAAGCCATAACACATACGTTTTTCCAGCAGCAGACTATGGTCGATAATGTCAAAAGTCACACTGAAGTCTAACAAAACAGCCCCCACAATCTTTTTATCATAAATTTCTCTCAGCCAATCATCCGTCATTTGTGTAAGTGCTGTGCTTGTTGAATGTCCTTCCCTATAAGCGTGCTGAAAGTCTGTTGTCAATTTGTTTACTGTAAAATAGCATTGGATCTGGTCAAACACAATTTTTCCAGAAAGTTTACTAAGGGTTGGTAACAGTCTGATTGGTCGGCTATTTGAGCCAGTAAAGGGGGCTTTACTATTCTTAGGTAGCGGAATGACTTTTGCTTCCCTCCAGGCCTGAGGGCACACACTTTCTAGTAGGCTTAAATTGAAGATATGGCAAATAGGAGTGGCAATTTCGTCCGCTATTATCCTCAGTAATTTTCCATCCAAGTTGTCAGACCCCGGTGGCTTGTCATTGTTGATAGAAAAATAAAAAATTGTTACAAAAGGGTTCTTCGGCTGTCCCCATAGGAGAACCCTTTTTGGTTCCAGGTGGAACCAAAGGATTCTACATGGAACCCGAAAGGGTTCTACATGGAATCAAAATGGTTCTACCTGCAACTAGAAAAAAAGGGCTCCAACACTTTGTCAGAAGTACATAATCAGTATCTGAATCAAATGATAATTTATTGTGTGACATTCAGACACTTTGAGAAATCAGAATTGGGATCAAACGATAACTTAATTATCTTTGGTCCTTTAGGGAGATAAAATGGCTGCACAAATGGAAATAATAATTTATTTCCGTAAATTATCAGTTGATAAATAAAGATTTTGCACAAAGTGTCATAACACAAAATTGTTTTCTGTACCATTAATCTTGATTTCTTGAATCTTCTTTCCAATAAAAATATATTAGATCAACAAGATGTATTATGAGTTATATTAATGAAAGTAGTTCAGACTAACCAAAATCTGAGAGCATTATATACCTCTGAGTGAAAATGGTGTGTAGTAAAAATAGGTATAACTTTGAGCGGATAGAGGATAAAAAGGGGATATCAAGGAACAAGATCAATACAAAAGGAAGTACGCACAAATAAATGTTCACACATCAATGAATTCTACAGTATTTCAAGAACAACACCCACTCCTTCTTGCCCCCTCTCTCCTACATGTCTCATCTGACTCAACCCCCCCCCCCCTTTTCACCCTCTCCTTCCCCTCCTCTACTCTCCCGTTCCCTCGTCTTCCTCTCCCACTCACCTGTTTAGTTGTCCGTCTTGTAGTATCTCCCCAACGTATCTACCCACAAGTTCTCTCTCAATGGACACACAGCAATTTTATAATCCCATATAGAAGACAGTTGTTTTTGTTGGTCGGAAGAAGTTTCTTCCCTCTCCCCCTCTCTCTCCCTCCCTCTCCCACTCTCGCCCTCCCTCTCTTTCTCTCGCTCTCTTTAGAAGAGAGAACAAAATTCTGGAGCTAGCTGTTTTCAAAGAGGGGAACAAAAACACATGCCTCTCAGGCTGCCAGCGCGTTCTGTGCCAGAGGCGTACAGCCTATGAATGACAAAGAGGGGAGAGGAGAGGAGGAAAGGAGAGGAGGACGGGAGAGGAGGAGGGGAGAAGGGGCTCGCGCCAGGGACAGAGATAGATAGGGCAGACCACCTTCCCTTCCCTCCTTCCCCCTTCCCTCCTTCACTCCTCCCCTCCTTCCCCCTTCCCCCCTTCCCTCCTTCCCTCCTTCTCCCTTCCCTCCTTCCCTCCTTCTCCCTTCCCTCCTTCCCCCCTTCCACCAATTCCCTCCTTTTTCCTTCCCTCCTTCACTCCTCCCCTCCTTCCCCCTTCCCCCTTCCCTCCTTCCCTCCTTCCCTCCTTCCCTCCTTCCCCCCTTCCCACCTTCCCTCCTTCCCTCCTCCCCCCTTCCTCCTTCCCCCCTTCCCCCCTTCCCCCCTTCCCCCCTTCCCCCCTTCCCCCCTTCCCACCTTCCCTCCTTCCCTCCTTCCCCCTTCCCTCCTTCCCGACTCCCTTCCTTCCCCCCTTCCCTCCTTCCCTCCTTCCCTCCTTCCCTCCTTCCCTCCTTCCCTTCTTCCCTCCCATCTCCTCACACACTGAGAACATACAAACACATACTTCAGCTAATATACACAGTCAGGCCAAGATACTTGGTCACACACACAGGGACACACACATAAATTCCATAAAGTATAGGGACAAACAGTCACATACTCTATACTGAATACACACACATACACATACACACACATCCCATACAAAACACACACATAGAAAGAATAATCTCATTGGTTTAGTTAAATAACTCTGGGTTCTCCCCCCTAGAAGTTCCCCTGCTCCTTGCCACTGCCTGACCAACAGTAGCTAGCTACACTTCACAGTCCAGTAAATCAAGCTGTCTAGCAGGGCTTTAGAAAAGAGGAGACAGAGAGGCGTTTGGTTCACGTGATTTCCTGCCACATCTGCCACAGTTAATCTGATGGAAGTTCATTCCAGTGTTTCACATCAGTTTCCCCATATTACTTTTCCCTGAATTACATCCTTTTGAATAGAATGAGTGCGTGTTTAAAGTGTTTGTGTGTGTGTGTTTAAAGTGTGTGTGTGAGAGAGAGAGAGAGAGAGAGAGAGAGAGAGAGTGTGATTTGCCACAACCAGGGATTCCATTCAGACTCTGAACAAAGCAGTATACTCTCAGCTTAATATTGTTCCTGGACAGCTGTTACCATGGATACTCTTCAACAGCTCGTCCACCCCTCCACCTTCCTCCGTCCCCTCTACACACACTGGACAATGCAACAAACGCAATACACTGAATGGCTGCTCAGTCTCAGTAAAGCATAGGCCTGTAGTGCAATACAGTACCATTCTGTATCTAAGGTCATAGCCGAGCACAGAGTTGTCGATCTGTCATGTCTGGGTTTTTAAGAAGTTTGAAACAGTGGAGAGTAGAATAGAATATTTTACATTTTAGTCATTTAGCAGACACTCTTATCCAGAGCGACTTACAGGAGCAATTAGGGTTAAGTGCCTTGCTCAAGGGCACATCGACAGATTTTTCACCTAGTCGGCTCAGGGATTAGAACCAGCAACCTTTCGGTTACTGGCACAACGCTCTTAACCACTAAGCTACCTGCCGCCGAATATCATGTAATTGAATCCTTAAATGCCCCATAGGTGAATTTGCATGGCAACATAAGTAGACCTACATACATCTTGTGGGAGAGGACAAGTTCCTCTTAAAAACCTATCTATCCTGCAAATAGAAAAACATGCAGAGGAAACTAACCTGGGGTGTCATCATAGTCCTGTCATGTTGTACACATGAGGAGTAATGGTTTTATTGTGATTCATCATGTTGTTTGGCAGGCCAGATACACTTGGCTGCTGCTACTGACAGACAGGCAGACAGACTGGCAGCCAGCATGGTGGTCTCAATTCCATAACAAATAACTTCCAACTGCATGATTAATCTGAACAGTCTGTCACATAGATAAACAGCCAAGGGAGAAAACAATGTGGAGATGGACAAGAATAGAGTTTGAAGTCCATTATACAACAGTTCATTTATGCTAGCACTGTTCTGTACAGTAGAATCACAGATTCTTGACTAGAGAAGAGTAGAGCAGAGGACAATGATAAGCCTGTTTTCTCTGCACTGCTGTTACAATGGCATTGCTTCTCTCTTCTCCCTTTTATACTCCATCTCTCTTCTTCGTCTGAGTGTCTCTCTCTCTTCTCTCTGATTGGCTGCCTCTCACTCTCTTTTTCTCTCCTTCTCTAATGCTGACTACCTATCTCTGACCACTTGTATTCTCTCCCTCTAGACACAGGGCTACATGGCTAATAATATCACAATCCTGTTTGTATACTGCATTATTTACACTGTGCATTGTATGTGTTCCCAGCATTGAGCCCTGTATATTGGGCTCCAGCAGTGCTCTGCAGGCATTCTAGGCCAGAATCCAAACTGATATGCCCCCTTTCATGGAGTGAGACAATAGTGAAATGGATCATATCATGTTGGAGACCAGGCTAAAGGCATTCACATCTAATGATCACAGATGGGTTGAGCAGTAGCAGCAAGACAACGTTGTCAGGATTGTAGTCTAAGGCTACATCCCGATTTTCCAACCTTCTCCCAAAGTGTGCACTTGCACACGCACTGTCATGGATTTAAAACCATTGGATTGCCATAAGCATTGGCTGGAGGCAGTTTCCACCACTTTTAAATCCATGACTGGAAGACTGCAAGTGCACACTTTGGGAGAAGGGTGGAGAATTGGGATGCAGCCTAAAACTCATTAATTGTCTGTAGTACAGCTTGCTAAGTGTGTCGTTGTATCACAGAACCAACTCCTCAGCTTGGATCGAAGACAACCCTCCAAACCTTCTGCCATGGGGGATCCAGCTAATGACAGAACAGCAGAGAGTAAATCCACAGGTTCCAACAACAACTGGAGAACATTTACTAAGGTTTGAAGGTTTCACAGCAGGAAAAATAGTTGAGATTGTTGTCGAGCCAAGAATTGTACCAGTCGAGAGAGCATTCATATAATTCTTTATATTAATCTTTATAGAGGAAACAGATATTAAGTCACACATTTACATGTGGTTTCACAATGTCTGGAAAACACAGAAGACGCTTCCCCGGTTTAAGATTTAAGACCGGTTTAAGACCCTGTTAATATTTTGAACTAGGCCCCTAACCTTAAAGTGTCTCAGAGTATGTGTGCTGATCTAGGGCCTATTTGAGCCTTTTAGATCATAATGAATAAGATTAAACAGACAGGGGGGCCTGATCCTAGATCAGCACTCCCACTCTGAGACACTTTTTTAATACAGGTCCAGGCCCTTTGTCGTTCTCTCCTGAAATGAAGACACCAGTACACTTCTACACATTTAGAGACGCATGCTGACAGTATCACTCCTCTACCCCTCCCACTCACTCTAACAGTCTCATGCCACTCTTAAACCAAACTGAACATAAACAAAACAGTCATTCTCGTGACATGCAACTTGAAACATACAGAACGATAACACATTGAAAAGAAGAGCGTTTTCTTTACAGCAATATCCAATGGTGAGACACATGAGAAGAAGAAACATCTGTAGGATATATACATTAACTTACAGGAAGAGCCTTAGCTCTGTGTTTTATTCACAATATTTACACATTTCTAACAGCGGATGAAGGAAGGAAATGTGTTCCTGTGTTCTCCAGCTTTCCCAAACGCAGTTTGAAGAATTTCCCAATACCTCACTCCTTCGCATGACTCCCTTGAAACATATAACCACATGACATACAGTATGTCCATATATCACTCTTACATTTAACAGACCTAGGTTCAAATACAATTTGACATCAAATACTTTTAAATACTGGGCGATTGACCTTGCCTGTCGCAATGGAACCAATAGATTAGTCGCAAAAGTGCAAACCCCACCCATCTGACACTCCAGGCAGACTAGAGCAAAAGCAGAAATTATTCGATTTCAAATAGTATTTGAACCCAGGTCTGCTCTTATGTTTAGTTTCGCTAGGTCCAGTCATAAATAGACTATAAAGCTATGTAGGATTGCAGAACAATTCTAAGAAAAGTACCAAGAATGATTCTGTCCAGAATACAAGTGGACAATGGCAGGTACGACTGCAGTCTGGAGACTAATGTCAAGGAGCGAAGCAATGTTGACTGGAGCTTTACAAATGATCCCAGATACACACACTCTTCTCACTGGGTCTCAGGGATATAGTCCCACTATTGCTGTGATCAATCAGCTTTATTACAGCTCTACGGAAATGTAATTTTCACCATTTCTGAGGTTCCAGCGTTGTCCACTTTGCCTAACTGCTCGGACCTAGGCTCAGTAGGCTGCAGGGGAATGGCGATGACGTGTGTCAGCACAGCAAGTGATTCAACAGCATTTCTGCTGAGTGTGGTTCAGTACAGGTATGTATTGTACTGGGGACAATGGTGACAGATGGACAATTCCAGTCCCAGTAGCAGCTCAATCAATCAATCAACCAATCAGACGATGGAGCCCTTGGAGGAGGACAGGTGGATGGACTGTATGCGGATGCCAAGGGTCTTCTCCAGATCCAGGAGTACGTCCGTGGCGGGGCTGCCTGGGGGCGTGTCGTACAGCAGCGTTTTGAAGGGCTCCAGCTCGATCAGCACCACCATGTTCTTCAGGAAGTAGCCCTCGATGTAGGCAGCCAACTCTGGGGCGTCCAGGAACTGATAGAGCAAAAGGTTGGAGAACAGATGAGTGTTGCCTAGTTTGAGATGTATGCCTAACCTATACATGTTTGTTCACACGCACACACATGCCTATAGTGCATACTGCAGCAGCACAGACAAACACAGAGACACCTAGCAGGCAGGCAAGAACAGGCAAAGATATTTACACATGATCACACACACAAACGCACACCTACGGCCTCACACATGCATGGATAGACAGTAGACACGCACATGCAGACCCACAAACCCACCCATCCACATATACATACATTCTCAACTCAACTTGACCCACTCACCTTGGTGTGGGTGTAGATCTCCACACAGGTTTCTGTGTTGATGTTCTTAGAGCAAATGACCTCACAGTGCCTCTGCAGCGCCTCCAGCTGGAAGAACTTGGCCGCTGACAGCAGCTGCACACACCAGAAAAGAGGACAGTTATGGCCTGGTAGCAGATCTATTTGTGCTGCCTTAACTCCTGACCTATGGTCACAATGACACAGATTTGGGTCCAGGCTAGGAAAAGTATTAAACGTTGTTGGACATATTGTATTACTGCTTCTCACTAACTGTGACAGATAGAATATTAATCTTCTCATATCAGGAAGTCTCTACATTGTACTTGTATCCACATTGACACATCCATATCAGTCTAGGTATCACTGCATCTTAGAGGTTATGACTCAGTATGACTGACAATGTCCAGAAGTGAGCCACTGTAACAGTCTTACCTCCATAATCTCTGTGTTTCTAATGTGCAGATGCTCCGTCCCACCGCAGTACAGGTATTGCATCACCAGCTGTAACAGTAGTGAGAACTGACGTTTACACAACGTTCACACAACATAGACTCAGTCAACCTGGAAATGGATTTGTCATGGGAAATAATCTGGGTTCTTTTTTTGTATGAATAGTCCCTTTTGAGAATGTATCACCATGTTATATGATATATGCAGTCCCATGCATAGACCTTTTGCGGGGCAGGTGCTCAAACAACAAAAACGGCACCCAAAAAAAGAATTTCTGCACGACCCGGTCACAGACTCGTTGAGCAATTATGACTTTGATTATTAAGTTACATAAAAGCAATAGACAGCCAAATCTTAATGGCTAATTAAACGACCAGTGACGGGGAGTAGTGAACTACACATAGTTCAACTAGTAATTGAACTACATTTTGCAGTAGCTTGGTGGTTGTTGAACTAAATTAAAATCTTGGTAGTGTTTTCAGTAGTTAATAACTTTTTTGCCATGTAGTGGTGTAGCTAACTACTGGAACTAGAAAAATATGGGTAAAGTAGGTAAGAATTTACTTTCTTTTTCAGCATCAGACCTACCTAATTCTCACTTGAAACATAGTTTTTGTGTTTAATCGGCTAAATGACACATTCTGTTAACATTTGACCCAAAAATGATCTGTTCTTGCAATTTGTAGTCTACGACATTTCAGATTTAGATATGATAATTTATCACAAAGTAGTTTGGATGTAGTGAACTACGTTTTCAAAGTAACTTTAGTTAAGTAAACTATATGTTTCTTAAGGGTAGCTTTAGTGTAGCTTAACTTCTTCCAGTGTGAAGTAATTGGTAGCATGGTAAACTATATTTTCAGAGTAGCTTCCCCAACACTGTAAATTACACATATTTTTCCCGAAAACAAAAAGGGCACTTTAGAAACTGGAAGGGCAAAGGGGCATGTGCTCTGCACAGGTAGAGCTCTATCTGTGCACATGTCTGGATCTATGTATATATATGATTAAATTGTAAGGAGAAAACAGATGTCTAAGTAAACAGAATGGTTGTTTTCTCTTTGAACATACCAGGAATATGTTGTATTTGACGTGGCTGATTTCAATACATGTGTTTTCAGCAGCTGGTCTGTTTGCCAGAAGAGACTTAAACCTTGAGGAGGGGAGAGAGAAAGTAAGAGATAAATACAAAAGAGATAGAGAAAATTAGGAATTAGATACCTTATCTTGGTTGATATTACCGTAATAAACCTTGATTCACAATTGTTTCATTCATGGTCTTTACACTTCACCAATGAAAACCGTAATCACTGTTGTGATCAAGTCATACACTGTATTCTATGTTACAGAGTAAAACGTAATCACTGAAAGAAAATGGTGTATTTTACGGTATAGATAAGGTAATGGTTCACATCCATTTAAATGGGTTTTTACAAGGCCCTTGACACATACCACCAGATCTCCAGAACACGTCAACAGAGCATCGTCAAGGACATCAACCATCTTGTGACAAGCCCTCACTCACTGTATGACCCATCGGGTCAATCATCCTTAATGCCATGTGACAGGATCTGAAGTGAGAGTATTCTTAGGGTCCCAAAGGCCAGAAAAAATGACATTATGGATCAACACACTGACAATATTGACGCAGTCTCAACATATCTGCAGTCAGTCATATTTTTCATCATTGTGTAGCCAATGTGCAATCGCTAACCAGTTAGCTGTGTGTGTGTGTGTGTGTGTGAGTGTGTGTGTGTGTGTGTGTGTCAATGGTGTAAGCAGAGTACAGATGGCCCAGTATCCAGATCTATATGGTGAAACACAAACACATGTAAAATATATAGATCAAATGATTTTCAGTTATGTATGGATAGTTGGGGACAGGAGTTTTTAGTGGCCTGATCAGGAAAAGCTCTCACTTGCCCTCAGATAGATTTGGTGGAATTTATACCATATCGCTTACATTTATCCAATCATTTCAGATCTAGGGGCTAGGGGAGATGTAGGAATATGCCCAGATGCAGTTTAAGCCTATCCTAGATTAGAAATCATGAATGGAGAATCTCCATTGAAAGTGTGTTTTAGTCCAGGACTAGGTTAATCTGTGTCCGGAAAACTTGCCCTGTGTGTCTGTTGTCTGTGTGTGTGTGTGTGTGTGTGTGTGTGTGTGTGTGTGTGTGTGTGTGTGTGTGTGTGTGTGTGTGTGTGTGTGTGTGAGAGAGAGAGAGAGAGAGTGCAGTGCAGTGTTCTGACCTGCCGGAGGCAGTGAAGAGCAGGACTTTGTGGGCGTAGAAGGGCTTCCCCTCCACTAGGAAGGTCACATCTGACATATCCTTGTTGTTCAGGAAGTGAGGGTCTGGAATGCATACAGATTCATCATGTATTCCAAGTCACTTCTCAATGTCCAGTTTATTACTATCTTTAGCCACTATGGCACATGTCTCTTTGTTCGTGTGAATCTGTGCAGTGTGATACCCTATATATACAAAAGTATGTGGACACCCCTTCAAATTAGTGGATTTGACTATTTCAGCCACACCAATTGCTGACAGGTGTATAAAATTGAGCACACAGCCATGCAATTTCAATAGACAAATATTGGCAGTAGAATGGCCTTACTGAAGGGCTCAGTGACTTTCAACGTGGCACCCTTTCCAACAAGTCTGTTCGTCAAATATCTGCCCTGCTAGAGCTGCCCCGGTCACCTGTAAGTGCTGTTATTGTGAAGTGGAAACGTCTAGGAGCAACAACGGCTCAGCTGCAAAGTGGTAGGACATACAAGTTCACAGACGGGACCGCCGAGGGCTGAAGCGAGTAGCGCATACAAGTCGTCTATCCTCGGTTGCAACACTCAGTACCGAGTTCCAAACTGCCTTTGGAAGCAACGTCAGCACAAGAACTGTTCACCGGGAGCTTCATAAAATGGGTTTCCATGGCCGAGCAGCCGCATCCTAGCCTCAGTTCACCATGCGCAATGCCAAGCGTCGGCTGGAGTAGTGTAAAGCTTGGACTCTGGAGCAGTGGAAACATGTTCTCTGGAGTGATGAATCACGCTTCACCATCTGGCAGTCCGACAGAAGAATTTGGGTTTGGCGGATGGCAGGAGAACGCTACCTGCCCGAATGCATAGTGCCAACTGTAAAGTTTGGTGGAGGAAGAATAATGGGCTGGGGCTGTTTTTCATGGTTCGGGCTAGGCCCCATAATTCCAGTGAAGGGAAATCTTAACTCTACAGCATACAATGAATGCTATTCTAGACGATTCTGTGCTTCCAACTTTGTGGCAACAGTTTGGGAAGGCCCTTTCCTGTTTCAGCATGACAATGCCACCGTGCACAAAGCGAGGTCCATACAGAAATGGTTTGTCGAGATCGGTGAGGAAGAACTTGACTGGCCTGCACAGAGCCCTGACCTCAACCCCATCGAACCCCTTTGGGATGAATTGGAATGCCGACTGTGAGGCCTAATCGCACACAACTGTTATGTGGGCAGCTTGTCTCTCCCTTTTCTGTTTCCCTTCCTCCTTGTTTTGTCCCCTCTTTGTCTGTTGTTTCTGTATGTGTGTTTGTCCCCATTATGTGGGTGTGTCTGGAGTGGATCGGGGGGCGTGCTCAGGATCTGCCTCTCCTGTGCAGCTGCGGGTTGTTTCCAGTGATTCCTGCCTACGCAGCTGCATCCTATTCTCTCATCAACCTGCACTACTAATTCCTGGGCATGGCTCTCCACCGGCGCCAGATCGTTGTTCTTACTAGAGCGGTAACTTGGCTCACCAGTAAAGTTTAATTGTCTTTGTCTTCAGCCTGGCTTTTTACTCTCCTTAACCTGTCGTTTGTTTTGTCTTCAGTTCAGACATACCTCCCAACCTGCCTGCTTGCCTTCCTGCCTGCCTGCCTGCCTGCCTCAGCCTCTCCTTCCTCCGGAGCCGACTAGCCCACTCTGTTCCTTTTCTTCAGTTGTTTTTTGGACTAAGACAAATTGAACTTTTATTAAAATATTTTTGTTTCCTCCACTCCCTTAGTCGTGTTTTGTTTCTCTGAGTGCTGGGTTAACCATAGCGTAACAACAACATCAGTGCCCAATCTCACTAATGCTCTTGTGGCTGAATGAAAGCAAGTCCCCGCAGCAATGTTCCAACATCTAGTGGAAAGCCTTCCCACTCCATATTAATGCCCATGATTTTGGAATGAGATGTTCGACAAGCAGGTGTCCATATACTTTTGGTCATGTAGTGTATATGTAGAGCTATTGCTACAAAGTGTTAAAATCATCATTCTAGTGCTCACCCAGGCGTGAAGTCTGTTTCCTTTTGATCTCTGTGAGTTTGGGGATGGGGTATGGCCCGTAGCACTGGGTGAAGATCACTGACAGCTGCTGGCTGATCACCTCATTCTAGAACATAACAGACAGGAGGGGTTAGACATCAGGCAGGTTTTATTCGCTCCATACCCACAATATATGTGTACTTAGATACAACACTCCATACCTGGACCCGTACAAATCAGCTGGGCTAGACAATCTGGACCCTTTCTTTCTAAAATTAGCCGCCGAAATTGTCGCAACCCCTATTACTAGCCTGTTCAACCTCTCTTTCGTATCGTCTGAGATCCCCAGAGATTGGAAAGCTGCCGCGGTCATCCCCCTCTTCAAAGGGGGTGACACTCTAGATCCAAACTGTTACAGACCTATATCCATCCTGCCCTGCCTTTCGTAAGTATTTGAAAGCCAAGTTAACAAACAGATCACCGACCATTTCGAATCCCACCGTACCTTCTCCGCTATGCAATCTGGTTTCCGAGCTGGTCATGGGTGCACCTCAGCCACACTCAAGGTCCTAAACGATATAATAACCGCGATCGATAAAAGACAGTACTGTGCAGCCGTCTTCATCGACCTGGACAAGGCTTTTGACTCTGTCAATCACTGCATTCTTATTGGCAGACTAAATAGCCTTGGTTTCTCAAATGACTGCCTCGCCTGGTTCACCAGCTACTTCTCAGATAGAGTTCAATGTGTCAAATCGGAGGGCCTGTTGTCTGGACCTCTGGCAGTCTCTATGGGGGTGCCACAGGGTTCAATTCTCAGGCCGACTCTATTCTCTGTGTATATCAATGATGTCGCTCTTGCTGCTGGTGACTCTCAGATCCACCTCTACGCAGACGACACCATTTTGTATACATCTGGCCCTTCATTGGACACTGTGTTAACAAACCTCCAAACGAGCTTAGAATAGAATATGTGGACAACTACAAATACCTAGGGGTCTGGTTAGACCGTAAACTCTCCTTCCAGACTCAATGTTAAATCTAGAATCGGCTTCCTATTTCACAACAAAGCCTCCTTCACTCATGCTGCTAAACATGCCCTCATAAAACAGACTATCCTACCGATCCTTGACTTCGGCGATGTCATTTACAAAATAGCTTCCAACACTCTACCCAGCAAATTGGATGTAGTCCATCCGTTTTGTCACCAAAGCCCCATATACTACCCACCATTGTGACCTGTACGCTCTCGTTGGCTGGCCCTCACTACATATTCGTCGCCAAACCCACTGGCTCCAGGTCATCTATAAATCACTTCTAGGCAAATCCCTGCCTTATCTTAGCTCATTGGTCACCATAGCAACACCCACCCGTAGTATGCGTTCCAGCAGGTATACCTCCCTATGTCCACATTTGACTCATTTCTCTCTGCCTCCTTCTTTCCACTCCTCTCCTCTTTTGACCTCACCCTCTCACCGTCCCCCCCTACTCACAAGGCAGGCAATACGCTTGACCTCATCTTCACTAGATGCTGCTCCTCTACTAATCTCACTGCAACTCCCCTCCAAGTCTCCGACCACTACTTTGTTTCCTTTTCTCTCTCACTCTCCTCCCACACTACTCACTCTGCCCCTACACAGATGGTAATGCGCCGCCGCAACCTTCGCTCTCTCTCTCCCACTACTCTCTCCTCTTCCATCCTATCATCTCTTCCCTCTGCTCAATCCTTCTCCCTCCAATCTCCTGATTCTGCCTCCTCAACCCTCCTCTCCTCCCTTTCTGCATCCTTTGACTCTCTGTGTCCCCTATCCTCACGGCCGGCTCGGTCCTCCCCTCCAGCTCCGTGGCTTGATGACTCATTGCGAGCTCACAGAACAGAGCTCCGGGCAGCGGAGCGGAAATGGAAGAAAACTAAATTCCCTGCCGACCTGGCATCTTTTCACTCCCTCCTCTCTACATTTTCTTCATCTGTTTCTGCTGCTAAGGCCACCTTCTACCACTCTAAATTCCAAGCATCTGCCTCTAACCCTAGGAAGCTCTTTGCCACATTTTCCTCCCTCCTGAATCCTCCCCCCCCCCCTCCCCCCCTCCTCTCTCTCTGTGGATGACTTCGTCAACCACTTTGAAAAGAAGGTTGACGACATCCGATCCTTGTTTGTTAAGCCTAATGACACTGCTGGTCCTGCTCACACTGCCCTACCCTATGCTTTGACTTCTTTCTCCCCTCTCTCTCCAGATAAGATCCTGCGACTTGTGACTGCAGGCCGCCCAACAACCTGCCCGCTTGACCCCATCCCCTCCTCCCTTCTCCAGACCATCTCCGGTGACCTTCTCCCCTACCTCACCTCGCTGATCAACTCATCCTTGACCGCTGGCCATGTCCCTTCCGTCTTCAAGAGAGCGAGAGTTACTCCCCTTCTCAAAAAACCAACACTCGACCCCACTGATGTCAACAACTACAGACCAGTATCCCTTCTTTCTTTTCTTTCCAAAACTATTGAGCGTGCCGTCTTTAGCCAACTCTCTTGCTATCTCTCTCAGAATGACCTTCTTGATCCAAACCAATCAGGTTTCAGGACTGGTCATTCAACTGAGACTGCTCTTCTCTGTGTCACAGAGACTCTCCGCACTGCTAAAGCTAACTCTCTCTCCTCTGCTCTTGTCCTTCTAGATCTGTCTGCTGCCTTTGATACTGTGAACCATCAGATCCTCCTCTCCACCCTCTCCGAAATGGGCATCTCCGGCGCGGCTCACTCCTGGATTGCGTCCTACCTGACCGGTCGCTCCTACCAAGTGGCGTGGCGGGAAGCTGTCTCCGCACCACGTGCTCTCACCACTGGTGTCCCCCAGGGATCGGTTTTGGGCCCTCTCCTTTTCTCCCTATACACCAAGTCACTTGGCTCTGTCATATCCTCACATGGCCTTTCCTATCATTGCTACGCTGACGATACACAACTAATCTTCTCCTTTCCCCCTTCTGATCACCAGGTGGCGAATCGCATCTCTGCATGTCTGGCAGACATATCAGTATGGATGACGGATCACCACCTCAAGCTGAACCCTGGCAAGACGGAGTTGCTCTTCCTCCCCGGGAAGGACTGCCCGTTCCATGATCTCGCCATCACGGTAGACAACTCCGCTGTGTCCTCCTCCCAGAGTGCGAAGAGCCTAGGCGTGACCCTGGACAACACCCTGTCGTTCTCCGCCAACATCAAGGCGGTGACCCGCTCCTGCAGGTTCATGCTCTACAACATTCGGAGAGTGCGACCCTGCCTTACACAGGAAGCGGCGCAGGTCCTGGTCCAGGCACTTGTCATCTCCCGTCTGGACTACTGCAACTCGCTGTTGGCTGGGCTCCCTGCCTGTGCCATTAAACCCCTACAACTCATCCAGAATGCCGCAGCCCGTCTGGTGTTCAACCTTCCCAAGTTCTCTCACGTCACCCCCCTCCTCCGCACACTCCACTGGCTTCCAATTGAAGCTCGCATCCGCTACAAGACCATGGTGCTTGCCTTTGGAGCAGTGAGGGGAACGGCACCCCTGTACCTTCAGGCTCTGATCAGTCCCTACACCCAAACGAGGACATTGCGTTCATCCACCTCTGGCCTGCTGGCTCCCCTTCCTCTGCGGAAGCACAGCTCCCCCTCAGCCCAGTCAAAACTGTTCGCTGCTCTGGCACCCCAATGGTGGAACAAGCTCCCTCACGACGCCAGGACAGCGGAGTCACTCACCACCTTCCGGAGACATTTGAAACCCCACCTCTTTAAGGAATACCTGGGATAGGCTAAAGTATTCCTTCTAACCCCCCCCCCCCCCCAAATTGTAAAGTGGTTATCCCACTGGCTATAGGGTGAACGCACCAATTTGTGAGTCGCTCTGGCTAAGAGCGTCTGCTAAATGACGTTAATGTGCCCTTGAGCAAGGCACTTAACCCTAATTGCTCCTGTAAGTCGCTCTGGTTAAGAGCGTCTGCTAAATGACTAAAATGTAAATGTAAATGTAAATCTCACTGGTCATCCCCAAAGCCAACACCTCCTTTGGACGCCATTCCTTCCAGTTCTCTGCTGCAAATGACTGGAACGAACTGCAAATATCTCTGAAGCTGGAGACACTTATCTCCCTCACTATCTTCAAGCATCAGTTGTCAGAGCAGCTTACCGATCACTGCACCTGTACACAGCCCATCTGTAATTAGCCCATCCAACTACCTCATCCCCATATTGTTATTTACATTGTTATTTATTTTGCTCGTTTGCACCCCAGTGTCACTCCAGTGTTAATACTAAATTGTAATTATTACTTACTACATTTGCACAGATTTTCTATTGTGTTATTGACTGTACGTTTTGTTTATTCCATATGTAACTCTGTGTTGTTGTTGTTTTTACCGCACAGCTTTGTTTTATCTTGGCCAGGTCGCAGTTATAAATGAGAACTTGTTCTCAACTGGCTTACCTGGTTAAATAAAGGTTAAATAAATAAACTAAATAAACCTAGTCTCTCCCAACACCTGCAATCCATTAGCAGGCCGGAGGTCAGCATTCATGAGAGAATTTGGTTCTGGGTTCCGAGATTACTCCATACCCACAATTTAAAAGGCATATTCATGTATAGATATCCACTACCACATTCACTCCCAAATCTTCAAATATCACAAGTCACAGTAGCTCACAGTCAACCATTAATTAAGGCCACTTGCAGACATCAGGTGATCCACCCTTTATCTGTGGACGGGGTGAATATCACACTGATGTATAGTAGCTATAATGCTGTTTTCTGTGCTGTATACCCACACGACTATGATAAACATAATATGTCAGGCTTGAGTGTGAGACGTCTCTGGGGACAGAATGGGCCTCTCCTATCGTAGGGTGTGTCTGAGTCACTGTGTGTGGTACTAGGGCCTATGGGAGAGAAGGGAGAGGGGTAGTAGCATGCACACACCCGCTTCACACACGCGCACGCACACACACACGCGCACATACGCAACGGACCGGTGCGCTTTATAGAACAATTCCCCTGTGTATTCAACAAATCCACGCTAGCATGACGCCTCCAACATCAATTACCAGCCACTTCACTCCACAAGGAGGTTAATGTGTTTTTCTACTTTCCAGACACAGGTTAAGCTTGCGTAGTTGTACAAACAAAAGCTATTAAAATGTGTCACACGAATACCTGATGTATACCCTCCTGTGAGACACAGTAGAACTACATTTACATTTTTGTCATTTAGCAGACGCTCTTATCCAGAGCGACTTACAGTAGTGAGTGCATACATTTTTATACAACATAACACAGGCAAATTCTCATATCACATCATGAACAGAAAAACAAATGTACAAATGTTCTCTGTGTCACTCACTCTCTGTTGTGCGTCAGCCTTCCCTTGTGTGTGTTAAACAAGGAGGTGTGAACAGACCGGCACACACTCAGTCTGACTAGAGGAAGATGAATGTTCTCTACCTTTAAGTCACACATCATTAGCGGGGATATGACAGAACAAACAGTGACGGGGGTCCCTGGGGTCTCAGAGAGATGGGGTCACTGCCTCCGCCATAGATCAACCCTGACAGGGACAAGGGCGGCTGCTGGAATGGGACAGGAGAGGGCAATGTGTGTCTGTGTGTGTGGGCATGTTTGTGTCTGTGTGTGTCCACGAGAGTGCTCATAAGTGTGTGTTTGTGTGTGTGTGAGAGAGTGTGTGTGTGTGCGTAAGTGTGTGTGATTGCGTTTCTGTGTGAGTGCCCATGTGCATGTGTGTGTGTTCATCTGCTCTCTCTCAGCAATAATGCACAAACCCTACTACATGACAGGCCAAAAGTTAGACTGGGAATAAAATAAAAGGCATTCTATGGTTATACTTAAGATAGGAGAGTCTAGTTATAATATATTATTGAGATATTCTGTTGGATCTAATGCTGCAGTGAATCTTGAGGGGATAAAGAGAGAAGGGTGGGTTTTTCAAGACTGGGTACGTAAGTTAGAACCGGAGGGCATAAATCATAAATCAACGCACTAATTTAAATGGATTGGGCCTGCGTGATTCTGTCAGTCACTGTGAAGCTGAGGGCTGTATTATATAATCACAGGAAGACAAATAGGATGAGTTCCAAATGCCACCCTATTCCCTATTTAGTGCACTACGTTTGACCATGGCCCATAGGAGGAAATTAGAATAACTATAGGTTATTTCTTAAGGGTTGTGAAGCAGAGAGAAGACATGATTATCTTCACTGTCAGGAGAGAAAAGGAGACAAAGAGGGGGTTATGGGGATGAAGAGACACGGGACAGAGAGGGATTGTGTGTTGGGATCTGTCAACTTTCAAATATGGTTGAAAGTTGACAGAAAGTGGGATGTGGATATGGAGAAAAGCAGAAGGCAGATGGTGACATTTGCGCCTGACTCAGAGTAAGAGTGCTGATCTAGAATCACTTTTGCCTTTAAGATCATAATGAATAAGAGGGGGGGACCTGATCCTAGATCAGCAATCGTCTGAGACACTTTTTGAATAGAGGCCTTGATATTCAGTCACCTTGCTGGCTCGTAGGATCTGAAACAAGAGTGGCAGGCCATGGGTGATGAGCTCCTGTGTGTACTCCTCCTCCTCGATACAGCTGAACTCCTTGAGCAGGCCCTGGATCAGTGGTCTCCGGTGCTGCAGGAAACACGTCCGCAGAGACTCCAACCAGGTGTGCAGCGTCCATGGGACTCCTGAGACACACCAAGAGGCATTATGTATACACTCTTAGAAAAAAAGGTTCCAACATGGTTGTTCGGCTGTACCCCTAGGAGAACCCTTTTTGGTTCCAGGTAGAACCATTTTTGGTTCCATGTAGAACCCATTTGTAGAAAGGGTTCTACCTGGAAGCCAAAAGGGTTCTTCAAAGGGTTCTCTCTTATGGGGACAGCTGAAGAACCATGTAGCCCTTTCCTGCAGTCAATGACCAAAAGCGCCCTCTTTGGAAACGAAAATCATGTGTTTCTATGTCAAACAGTTTTGTTATATTTCAGTATTCTGTGATGTATATTAAGTGTAATATTGGGATGCAAACTCAAAATTGAATACATTTAAACTCTATATCTGACATGGTACAGGTGTCTTCTTTTTTGTGAGCCCATAACCATGTCTGTGAGGTGTATACTTTTGTTTCAAAGTAGATTTGTTTAAGACTACCAAGAAACACTCTGTGTGACCCTGATTTAGCCCACTGCAGTAAAAGGTTTTAAGGCTCTAGATTGCACCTTGTTTTCTAAGAGTGTACATCCACAGACATCCACACACACATGAGACATCCCACCAACTTTGAGAAAAAACACTTTATATCAGAGTTCCCGCCTGCGCACAGGTTGACATTTATTGGGATGAATCTTGTCCTGGAGGCAGAGCTGAGTGATTGCCACTAGATGGGCCAGCTGCAAAGTCAAAATTGCCTATATATTGTAAAAATGCATGATTTTTTTGTTGTTGCTTTTTGGTCTTAATTTAAGGTTAGGCATAAGGTTAGCAGTGTGGTTAAGGTTAGGGTAAGGTTTAACATCTGATTGTATGAGTTTGTGGCTGTGCCAGCTAGTGACTACCCTGTACAGCTGCCTCAAGCACATGAGTCATCCCAATAAATTCCAACCTGCACCTGCTTCCAACTCCTCCCACCTGTCTACACTGATTCCTATTGTTAATATTGGCAGTCATCTTGTCAATAAACTATAATATCTTTGCTCAACGGTATAGGCTTTATGTGGCTTAAGTGAGGGTGATTAAAGTGAGAACACACTACCAGAGCTCAGTGCAATTAGGAGACAAAATGACAAAAAACACAAGGTTGTTACACAAACAGCCAGGCCTTCATTCAAGTGGAAAAACGACAACAACACAGGTAGAAAATCTATAGCTAGCCTCATGTGACTGGGACGCAACCTAATGACCCCGGCTATATGGATCTCTTAGATTACAATGTATAGGGTGAACATGTATATCTAGTATACTGACAAAGGCTGCACATACAGTGGTGTGAAAAAGTGTTTGCCCCCTTCCTGATTTCTTATTTGTTTGCATGTTTGTCAGACTTAAATGTTTCAGATCATCAAACAAATTTAAATATTAGTCAAAGATAACACAAGTAAACACAAAATGCAGTTTTGAAATGAAGGTTGTTATTATTAAGGGAAAACAAAATCCAAACCCACATGGCCCTGTGTGAAAAAGTGATTGCCCCCTACAACCTAATAACTGGTTGGGCCACCCTTAGCAGCAACAACTGCAATCAAGCGTTTGCGATAACTTGCAATGAGTCTTTTACAGCGCTGTGGAGGAATTTTGTCCCACTCATCTTTGCAGAATTGTTGTAATTCAGCCACATTGGAGGGTTTTCGAGCATGAACTGCCTTTTTAAGGTCATGCCACAGCATCTCAATAGGATTCAGGTCAGGACTTTGACTAGGCCACTCCAAAGTCTTCATTTTGTTTTTCTTCAGCCATTCAGAGGTGGACTTGCTGGTGTGTTTTGGATCATTGTCCTGCTGCAGAACCCAGGTTTGCTTCAGCTTGAAGTCACGAAAAGATGACCGGACATTCTCCTTCAGGATTTTTTGGTAGACAGAAGAATTCATGGTTCCATTTATCACAGCAAGTCTTCCAGGTCCTGAAGCAGCAAAACAGTGAGGCCTGCAGCTCTTTGGATGAGTCGTCGCTGCGCTCTTGGGGTAATTTCGGTCGGCCGGCCACTCCTGGGAAGGTTCACCACTGTTCCATGTTTTCGACATTTGTGGATAATGGCTCTCACTGTGGTTCCCTGGAGTCCCAAAGCTTTAGAAATGGCTTTATAACCTTTTCCAGACTGATTACTTTCTTTCTCATTTGTTCCTGAATTGCTTTGGATCTCTGCATGATGTCTAGCTTTTGAGGATCTTTTGGTCTACTTCACTTTGTCAGGCAGGTCCTATTTAAGTGATTCCTTGATTGAGAACAGGTGTGGAAGTAATTAGGCCTGGGTGTGGCTAGAGGAATTGAACTCAGGTGTGATAAACTACAGTTGAGTTGTGTTATAACAGGGGGCAAACACTTTTTCACACAGGGCCATGTAGGTTTGGATTTTGTTTTCCCTTAATAATAACAACCTTCATTTCAAAACCTTCATTAAATATCTTTGACTAATATTTAAATTTGTTTGATGTTCTGAAACATTTAAGTGTGACAAACATGCAAACAAATAAGAAATCAGGAAGGGGGCAAACACTTTTTCACACCACTGTATCTATACTGTAATTACTGTGAAGGCCTACAGAATGTACATCTATAGATCATTTCCTGTTGCAAGTTCACAGACATGCAATTGACATGTTACTGATCTGGCCTATTGATAGTTTACTGAGCCTCTATACCAGAGGAGGCTGGTGAGGGGAGGACGGCTCATAATTACAGCTGTAATGAAGTGAATGGAATGGAAACCATTTGTTTGATACCATTCCATTCAGTCCATTCCAGCCATTAGCCTGTCCTCCGACTTAAAGTGCTACCAGCCACCAGTGATCTATACCATATAGATGGACTATCCCAATAAAGTGTTACCAAAGTATGTACTCACCCAGGCTGCGTATGTCGATGGTGATATCCACGTGTCCGTGTTCAGAGCTGTGGTACATGGCCTCTCTCAGGGCCTTGAGCTTGGCCTTGCCCGTCCGGACCAGGTCCAGCTGGGAGGGGCTCCTCTCCTCCAGGCCCCTCTCCTCCTCTGTCCCCTCAGCCAGGATCTCCTCCAGGGACAGCACGTCCCCCTTCCCTTTCTCTGTCTGGGACAGCAGCTTACGGAACACGTTCCTTTACAGGGAGGATAGCAGACAGATATATTTGTTAGTAGTGATAGTGGCGATAATGTAAGGTATGATGATGTCAATACAAGTAGATGCAATGTGCATGTGTGGGGGGTGTCCGGTGTGTGCGTGCACACATGCGAAAGAAAGAGAGATAGGCAGAGAGACAGAGGCGCAGAAAGAGAGAGAGCAAGAATGAGAGATGTGTTTTCTCTGTAAAGTGTTTTGCTCATACTATTTAAGTGTTACCTGTGTCCATGTGCTGCGGCTAGACTGTAGGAGTTCATGTCTCCCTGAGGGGCTGTAGAGATGCCATTACGGTACATAGTTCCCACCATGGGGTCTGCTCCCCTCTCCAACAGCAGACTGACCAGCTCAAAGTTACCTAGGGGAGGAGAATGTTGCAGGTCAAGTTCCGGGTCAAGTTGAGCTGAGAATGTGTGTATGAGGGTGGCTTGTTGCAGATGTTGTGTGCGTGTGTCAATCCATGCATGTGTACATGAGGCCGTAGGTGTGCGTTTGTGTGTGTGAACATCTTCGCTAGTGTGCCTACAGATGTAGGATCTTAATTTTATCACTTTTGTTGCTGAGAAGTGTGCAGGAAATGCAAACTTGTAGTGTATTCAAGGTTTAAAAAGGCTTTTAAAGTTTGTAATTTCCACTTAAAAATGTCAGAATTTACTTGCCCAAATGAAAAATGTATCAACCCCTACAAAAAATGTCCATTAATTGTAATCCACATAATAATTCACATTTCCTGTTGCTGCAGGATTATTATTTTCCTGCTGTAGCAAACTGGATCAAATTAAGATCCTACATCTGTATACCTGCAAGGTGTCTGTGTGTGTGTGCGCATGTGTACGCTAGATCTCCCTGAAAAACTAAACTGAATTATTTCCCCAATTTAGGGTCCTGAGATTTCCCTAGTCAGGTGGTCAGGCAAAACTCCAGGGCCTATTCATAACATCCCACTGCATCTTGTGGTTATTATCAGCAGTGCCATGATGTTGTCCAGGTTGGTTGTGCAAGGTCGGCTGCAGGCTGTCAGAGGCATGCTGTTCCAGCAGTGTACCTGCAGCGGAGGCCAGCTGTAGTGGGGTCTCTGTGTAGTTCTCCATGCCATCCTGTAGGGAGCCCTCTACGTTGGCCCGGGCATCCAGTAGCAGCTGTGGAAGGCAGGGGGTGAGGCAGGGGTAAGGCAGGGGGGAGACACGTGGAGTCAGACTTATCTTCACTCTCTGAAGGGTTGGTATGAGCATCAGTGGCCCATCACCAAGATAGACTCAGATAGTACAACCTGAACCACATACTGGATAGTACAATATTACAGCCTGGCAGAACAGATGGCTTGGGAAATGGAGTGTGAAATTATGAAACTGAAAAGCCCCCAACCAAATCTGACTGAACATTACAGGTGCTTAGAGAAAGTTCTACCCGAAAGAGCCTGGACACTAAATCTGCATTTATTCAACCACAAATCCTGTTTTTCTTCTTTCCGCCCAAGTGATTCCCATGTACTTCCGAAACCCCTTGATGAGGCTGTGGAAAAAGTCCTGCTACACCTTTTAATTTAAGAAGTAGAGCTAATTAGTTCTAGCAATTCAGTGGAAAGATCATTTCAATGTTGATGTATTGTGTTTGATAACCATTAGCAACGTGGACAAACAGATTGTCCTGTTTCCACTAAGTTAATGCAGTGTGTGCCACGTGCACTTAATCAGGAGGAAGTAGAGAATGACACAATCGTTCAAACTAGTACTTTTCTGACAATAAAATGGGACACGTTTTGGGACAAACACTCCTAAACATATTGAGTGTTTCCATTTCAACCAGTTTCCATTGGGTTTTCAAGCTCAGGTCACTTAGCATTCAATGACATTCAATAGACATAGAATTAGGAGAAAACACATTTGAGCTGTTATTATCACCATTTATGTCATGATAATAATAACCATGACACCAAGATTGGGGTCAATTCCATTTCAATTCAGTCAATTCAGGAAGTAAACCAAACCTCTAATTACAATTTTTCTCAATGCTTTTCAATTAGAAAAACAAAAATTCTGTTGACTTCCTGAATTGTCTAAATTGAAATGGAATTGACCCCCACCCTGCATGACACTATATGATGCACAATGAGAGGTGAACAGACAGAAAACACAATGAGGTGAGAAAGGATGACATCACTACCTGCATAACAGGGACATGTCCATGTAACACGGCGAAAGTGAGAGGTGTCCCCTGGCGCGTTTCGGGGTAGACTGAGGGGTGCTTGTGCACTGTGTTTGGCACCTGGGAAGTCATCAGGGAGGTTCAGGGAAGAGAGATATAAAGCCATTAAAATTCTAGTCTATGCAGCAAAGACAAGCAGCTAAAGGAGCGAGTCTAAAGGAGAGCTGAATCGTATTTATTAGGCACCAAACGGGGGGGGGGGGGGGGGGGGGGGGGGGGGGGGGTTGTTGTGATTGAAACAGGGAGGGTCTACTTGGACTTATAGACAATAAAAAAGCTAATTTCTGTCTTCTGTTGCAAAATGTTTTAAAACGTTTTCCGTTGCATGACCTAATGAATACGACCCATAGGTAATTAGCTAGTTAGCCTGCAGCAAAAGCGGACATCCTGCTGGTTTTGTTGCTAAACCAACTCGATCGATTCTGTCTAGTTCTGCTTAATAGTGTAGTACTCAAAGATACTTTCCACTTTCCACTCTTTTCCAGCCTTGGTCTGTCTGTCTGGAGTCCAAGGCTGACCTAAGTTCACCTCAGTAACTAGACCACATCTCCTCTCAGGCAAACAGTCAATCAGGGGCTGAGACAACAACTGGGAGCACATGAATGTGAGGCTGTGAGCAGAGACCCGTGAACAAAGCACACACAATTCCCTCGAGCATCTCTCAGAGTCTCTGAAGCGGACACTCATTTCGAGCTTTTCTCTAATTGACTTTTCTCTAATTTGCTTTGCTTTAATTTACTTTTCCTGACCTTAATTACTCAGAGGATACGCAGAGGCAAAAGTAACACGTTTAATATTTTTGACCTGCTGTGTGCAGTGCTTCAGAAATATTGGAAGCAACAAACAGTGTCCTGTTGCCTAATCAATCACAACAGTCACATGCTCCATTTAACTTTATTTAGATGAATCATTATAACCTCAAAATAAGCAATTACATAATCCATCCTCAGCCTACTGGAGTGTTGTGTTGAGTGCTTTGTTCTAGGGTTACCACTATCATGGCCGACATTAACTCTGACGTGATGGCTGGTGGGTTACACAGTCATGAGATGACTCAACAAGACTAGGACCAACAGGCATAGGCCACCATTACTGTAAGTAGGCTACAACCAAAGATCCCCCAAAGCTTATCAGGGGCTCCTTGAGAAATGCCTCAAACATATTAGTATAGTATTTAATGTTCTCTTATCATTCTTCGTACCAAAGGCATAGCTAAAAGGTAAGCTTACAGTTATGTCTGTGTAATGAAATTGTAAACAGTGTGTCATTGAATTGTGTACAGTAAACAGTATTGTGGCCCGTGCCTCATGATTATGACCGTACCCTCTTCTCACTATACATACAGCATGGCAACAGGAGAGGAGGAGTGGGGACAGATGAGGGACAGCACAATCTGGGTTTTCTCCTGTCTCACACCACATAAATTAGAATGATCCCAAATCTGTTTGTGCTGACTTGTCAACTCATATGGTCATTGTCACGCCAAACGAGACAATGACCATGGGAGTTGGCAAGACAACACAAACAGATCTGGGAACAGGCTACATACAAATCATTCTACACAACATGGTGTTGTCATCATCACTGACCTCACTGTTGATGTCTGCTCCAGCGTCCAACAGCATCTGGACCATGGCCTCGTCCCCTCTCACACAGGCGTACATCAGAGGGGTCATCCCCTGATGTACATCAGAGGGGTCAGGGGTCAGAATATACATTGGTCACATTACAGTTAGGGTTTTGTTTGACAGATAGTCCAGATGTTCAGGGTTATGTGAGTTGAATAAAGCAGATATGAAGCAGATGTCAAGGACATCGTTTTTGTATGACAGTGGATGGTTGCTTTACACTGTCTTTACACTGTGAGTTTGATCATCTGGGTTCGAAGACATACAGTATCTCCTGTGCCCCACAATACTGTGTTAGCTCGCAGAGCTAAAGCCTAGGCATTACCTCGGGGAGCTAACACAAGTCTTCCGGTCTTAGACAAGGTTACTACTCATCATGCGAGCGTGGTTCACTGAACTACCTCCGTTACATGAGCACAGGTCAAAGCCATCAACACATGGCAACAATCCTCAGCTTGACCTGTATCTGACTTCTTGGATATGCTTACAGCACACTTGGACACCATGTTTGACATTTCTCCCTCCAGCCACTTTGATTAACTACAGTAGCGTGTGGCATCGGTCATGGAAAACTCAGAGGAGTAATGTTCTGCAGCTCCCTAAGGCACTGGGAACAGCCAGTGTGTTTCCACTGGGCTCCTCATTCAGTCTAAACATCAAAGACAGGAGGCAGTCTGGAGGGAATGAGTTGCGTTCCTCAGCTCAGAACAGCCTCAAACTAAAAACTGAAAAATTAATGTGGCTGGTACACTAGATGTGTGTGTGTGTGTATACACGTTTGACTATACTTGTGAGTACCAGAAGTCCTCACAAGAAGAGTAAACCAACTAAAATTCAGAGAAGTGATGACATTTTGCCGGTCCTAACTATTTTAGTCTTAGGAGTTGGGTTTAGGGTTAGGGTTAGAATTCTGGTTAGGGTTGGAATTAGTTGTCTCAATTGCAATGGTGCCCTGAAGACAAACATTCCATCAACACAACAACTAAAATATAAAAACTATAGACAGCTATAAACACATTACATCAGGTTATTACAACAAGTAATAATATGCCATTGTTTCCATGGCTGCTCGGCCATGGAAACACATTTCATGAAGCTCCCGACGAACACTTCTGGTGCTGACATTGCTTCCAGAGGCAGTTTGGAACTCGGTAGTGAGAGTTGCAATCGAGGACAGACAATTTTTACACTCTACGCGCTTCAGCACTCGGCGGTCCCGTTCTGTGAGCTTGTGTGGCCTACCACTTTGCGGCTGAGCCGTTATTGCTCCTAGACGTTTCAACTTCACAATAACAGCAACTGGGGCTGCTCTAGCAGGGTAGAAATTTTACGAACTGACTTGTTAGAAAGGTGGCATCCTTTGACGGTGCCACGTTGAAAGTCACTAAGCTCTTCAGTAAGGCCATTCTACTGCCAATGTTTGTCAATGGAGATTGCATGGCTGTGTGCTCAATTTTATACACCTGTCAGTATAGTGTATGTTGGAAGCTTGTAGAGCAGAGCTTTGTAAACAAGAAGGGAGTAATGACGTGTTCTACGGGACTTTAGAGAGGTCCAGCCGACCTTCTGATACAGGATGCAGTAATGATTATTAAAACTTCTTCCTTCTGTTCATGGTGAAGCAAGATCTATTTCTAAAACAGAAGCCCACATTAAATCTTAGCTTTTTAACTAACTCATCAGTATGTTTTTTAAATGTTAGATTTTTATCAATCCAGACACCCAGATATTTATTGGCGGGAACGATGAGAGAGCCATCCAATGAGTGAATATGTAGCCCATCTGAGAAATTTTTCCGTGAATTAGAGAAAAATAATATATTTAGTTTTGCCCGCATTAAGTACAAGTTTAAAATCAACAAGGGCTTTCTGTAATTCAACAAAATCAGATTGCAGCTCTAACAACGGCTGGTCTACAGTTGGGACAATGGCATACATAACAGTATCGTCTGCATACAGATGAATATTACAGGATTTAATACATAGACCAATATTATTTATATAAATAGTAAAGAGAACAGGTCCCAATACCGACCCCTGCGGTACACTTTTCGTAATATTGAGGAAACTAGACTTGACACCATCAGAAAGCACACATTGTGTCCTGTCTGTTAGATAGCTCTTAAACCATTTGCAAGACTCCTTGTCCAGGCCCATTTCAGACAGTTTTTGAATGAGTAGGGAATAGTCAATGGTGTCGAATGCCTTGGAAAGGTCTATAAATAGGGCAGCACAATGTTTTTTATGATCTAGGCAATTTAACACATCATATAAAACCAGACTAGTGCATGTTTAGAATAGCGTGAGAAGTTAAAAAAGTTATTTGCTGGGAGTTGGTCAGGGATTGTAGTACCTTGGCTTCGCAAAATAACTTGGGAGTTTGGGCAGTAATTATGTAAGTCAGAAGGATCTCCGCCTTTATGTAGGGGGAGGACGTGCCGCTTTCCAATTCTTAGCGAAAACACCAGCAGCAATTGTCAAGTTAAAAATACAGGTTAAAGGTTCAATAATGAGTGGGGCAGGGTTAGGGTTAAGTTTAGAGTTAGAGGTTAAGGAAAATAGGATTTTGAATGGTCCACAAAAAGTCCTCACAAGTATAGTAAGACATAGCTGTGTGTGTGTGTGTGTGTGTTGTCCCAATGGACTGATGTGTGTAGGAGAGAGTGGGCAATACTGAGTTTCACACGTTCACCACAGAGAAGAAAAAAAGTAGCAGGTCAAATTGAGTTGAGAACATGGGTGGGTGGTTGTGGGTGTGGGCATGTATGTGTGTGTGTGTGTGTGTGTGTGTGTATCCATCCATGTGTACATGAGGCCGAAGGGGTAAGTTTATGTGTGTAAGTGTATAAGCATCTTTGCCAGTGCTTGCCTGCCTGCAAGGTGTCCGTTTGGTTTTGTGTTACGTCTGCTCGATGTACTGTGTGTGTGTGTGTGTGCGTGCGCGTGTATGTGCTTGCATGTATGCATTTGTGTGTGTGTGTGTGTGTGTGTGTGTGTGTGTGTGTGTGTGTCTAACTAACCTGTTCACTCATGCTGTTGATGCCATCAGGCCCCAGCAGATTGACAGCCTGTTTCACCAGGTCGGTCCGGCCACAGTTGAGCATGCGGAAGCCCAGGTCCTGGAGGAACTTAGCCTCTGTGGAGGCTGCATCCAGCTTCCGGGATGCACAGAAACAGTCATCCGTCCTGGTAGGGAAATCACAGGTAAGGAAATCAATTAGCTGAATTTAGAGTGTTACACTGATTCTGGACAGAGATGATGTGTGTGTTAACTGATTTGTGTCAATGTGAGGACAAATAACAACTGTATGAGAGGTGTGTGTGTGCGTGCGTGTGGTTTTGTGTGTGTGTGTGTGTGTGCGTGTGTGTGTGCGTGAGCGTGCACATGCGTCCATACGTGGTAGTGTGCGTGCATGTGTGTGTGTCTGTTTGAGTTCATATTGTTGAGTGTGGGTGTTTCGAGCCTGCATGTGTGCCTGAGTGCCGTGTGTGTGTCTGTTTGAGTTCATATTGTTGAGTATGGGTGTTTCGAGTCTGCATGCGTGCCTGAGTGCCATGTGTGTGTGTTTCCATGCCGTACTTGAGCTGGCGTGGTTCACAGTCCACCCCTGGCAGCAGCAGCCTGGCGGCCTGCCGGACGTCGTCACTGTCCACTGAGAAGCTGCGGCGGTGCTCCGCATGGGCCACCGACACCCTGATCCACTCCATCAGGGGAGGCAACACCAGGAAAGGCCTGCAGGGGGAGACACCCCCCCCCCCCCCCCCCCCACACACACACACAAACGCACACACACACACACACACACACACACACACACACATACAGGAGTCATCAATATAAGCTATGGGCTGAATGGTACCGGTAGAAGTTGTACTGGTTTAGATACAGATCTTGGATCAGCTTAGCTTACACAAATTCTAACCATTATCATTCAAGGGATGGTGGGTAGGGGAACGCAAAACTGAATTGAGATCAGTGTCTTGGAGCAAAGTTATGCTATTCCTCCTACTCCTTTAGTCAGAGACCCTAACAGCTGGTTCCCATTTAAAGGACAATTGTATTTGTTCCTTAGAGGATGGAAACACATATTAATATGTATCTGCACCTGTCTGTCATAGACATATTCTTATTATTAATATGAATATACATGTAATGTTAATATTGAATAATACTGATGTGACTCTAGATCACTGCTAATTATCTCACACAAAATAGCTCAATGCCTTGAATGTCCTTGGCCCCAGCATCACTCCTACATGTACACTAGCAGTCAAAAATGTGGACGTACCTACTCATTCAAGGGTCTTTCTTTATTTTTGCCATTTTTACATTGTAGAATAATAGTGAAGACATCAAAACTATGAAATAACACATATGGAATCATGTAGTAACCCAAAAAGTGTTAAACAAATCAAAAATATATTTTATATTTGAGATTCTTCAAATAGCCACCCTTTGCCTTGATGACAGCTTTGCACACTCTTGGCATTCTCTCAACCAGCTTCATGAGGTAGTCACCTGGAATGCATTTCAATTAACAGGTGTGCCTTCTTAAAAGTTAATTTGTGTAATTTCTTTCCTTCTTAATGCGTTTGAGCCAATCGTTTGAGCCAACATTTTAAGCTAAACATTTTAATCTGTTGCATAACAGATCAAAACGTTTAGCTTAAAATGTTGATAAACTAATAGGCTATTTCTTCACATTATAAGCACAGCAATGCGCACACAGCAGTAGGCTATAAGTGCGAATGTTCCAAAATGCAATCAATTAGCGGGAAAACACCATTCTCAAAAGTGACCGCAAATGTGATTATGCATGTAATGCTTTTGTTACAAAGGTGCATTTTTATGGTGAAAATTATCTTCCCCAAACTTGAAACTCACGTGCTCCGTATGTATGCCAGTTAGGCTCTACACCCGTTGTAAAGCGGATTAATGTGATTAATTTTAAGAAGTTATTTGGCCACTTTAGTTGTGATACAAACCTTATCAAAACATATAGCCTATGGGCTAGGCTACATGAGGTGTGAGACTATGATTTGAAAAAGTGCAAAAAAAAGGCATGCACTGTTTCTTGCCTTACTGCACAGAAGCTGAGCATCATTCACAAGTGATAATATATCATTCACAAGTGATAGGCTAATATTGTCACCCATCAGACTGTTCTTGATTTAATCTTGCACAAAATAATATATGTGTGAAATGTGTTTTGATTTAGAATGGACCATTATCATGCACCTGTCTAGAAAAAAATACATGTCATCTATGCACTTAAATAGCAAATGGAGGACGCTTTTTCCGTGGTTCATTTTCATGCCAGCCAGGTAGGTTATACTCCTGTTGTAAAGAGAAGCAATGTGCTTAATATTAGGAAAGTTGAGAAATAAATATAGTAGGCCTAGCCTATAGAAAGCTGATGGGATCCTCCTCTTTTTAATAGAGGCCATCACTTTGTTCTTTCACGTAATTGCATAGCCTATAGAAATGTTGCACAACATGAGCTCATGGGCTCTCATTAAGTGTTTGATTATATTTTTGAATACATTTGCATTGATGTCAGAGGGATTAGAGGGACCATAGAGTGCTGAGTACCAGGCAGTTTGCAAGTTTGGTAGGCTACTAATGACCATCAAACGCATCAGAGCTTGGAGAAGCCTAATTTCAAGAACTTTGAAAGTTTCTTCAAGGGCAGTCGCGAAAACCATCAAGCGCTATGATGAGGACCGCCACAGGAATGGAAGACCCAGAGTTACCTCTGCTGCAGAGGGTACGTTCATTAGAGTTAAATGCTTCAAATAAATGCTTCACAGAGTTCAAGTAACAGACACATCTCAACATCAACTGTTCAGCGGAGACTGTGTGAATCAGGCCTTCATGGTCGAATTGGTGCAAAGAAACTACTACTAAAGGACACCAATAAGAAGAAGAGACCTGCTTGGGCCAAGAAACACGATCAATGGACATTAGACCGGTGGAAATTTGGAGTCCAAATTGGAGATTTTTGGTTCCAACCGCCGTGTCTTTGTGAGACGCGGTGTGGATGAACGGATGATCTCTGCATGTGTAGTTCCCACCGTAAAGCATGGAGGAGGAGGTGTTATGTTGTTGGGGTGCTTTGCTGGTGACACTGTCTGTGATTTATTTAGATTTCAAGGCACACTTAACCAGCATGGCTACCACAGCATTCTGCAGCGATACACCATCCCATCTGGTTTGGGCTTAGTGGGACTATCAATTGTTTTTCAACAGGACAATGACCAAACACACCTCCAGGCTGTGTAAGGGTTATTTTACCAAGAAGGAGAGTGATGGAGTGCTGCATCAGATGACCTGGCCTCCACAATCCCCCGACCTCAACCCAATTGAGATGGTTTGGGATGAGTCGGACGGCAGAGTGAAGGAAAAGCAGCCAACAAGTGCTCAGAATATGTGGGAACTCCTTCAAGATTGTTGGAAAAGCATTCCAGGTGAAGCCGGTTGAGAGAATGCCAAGAGTGTGCAAAGCTGTCATCAAGGCAAAGGGTGGCTATTTGAAGAATCTCAAATATAAAATCTATTTTGATTTGTTTAACACTTTATTTGGTTACTACATGATTCCATATGTGTTATTTCATAGTGTTGATGTCTTCACTATTATTCTACAATGTAGAAAATAGTAAAAATAAAGAAAAACCCTTTTGTGTTCAAACTTTTGACTGGTACTGTATATCTGTCATATATCTGTCACACTATGACACAATTTGTACCAGCGTTTCAAAAGACACAACCCCACATCATGAAGTAGTGTATATTTTGTTGACCAATATATTCCACTACAAAACCAACAGAAAAGCTACATAGTTCACGGGCTAGCTTGAAGACGTGTTTCCGACCATTCTCTTAGAAGATTTGCAATTAAGTGTAGACCTAGGCAAGGTTTTAAAACGTGATCACGCAGCATTCCCAATTCGTTAGGAACCTATCTTCGTGGTGCTCAGAGCTGAAGCAGACTGGGGAAGGAGACCTGGAAGACACATTAGCAGTTAGCTCTCCATTACAGGGCTGTAAAGTCTGGAGCCCCGGAGGAGGCCTGCTCTGCATCAACTGCCAGCTTATTCACCCATTTCCCCTTCCCCTGACAGAGGTTCCACATAGCCTCAGGACATTCTGGGCCGGTGAGGTTATATAATGTATAGGAGCTTTTCCTCACCAGGTGACTTGGCCAGGAAAAACTCCAAGCCAGTGTTAATATGTATAGTGTAGATAGATAGGTATTTGCCATAAATTCATTAAACACATATTTACTGTAAGATATATTGTGTATAACTGTAAGAAGAAGAAAAAATTTACTGAATTTGTAAGCAGGATATTTCTTGTAATGACGTCAGTTTCGCAGTTTTACCGCACGGTAAGAGTTTGACCAAATTCTAAGGTATAGGAGGGATCTCAGAATCAACATCATGTAAATGTTGGGTAATGCATAATACCATTCTAAAACATGGACTCCATACAGCCTATAACTTGTATTGAACTGTAATGACTATGTCAGTTAAAGTAATTTAGTAAAGCCATCAATTTAGGCTGTGCTCATGTTTCAATAATAATTTCCTGCTGATTGTTAGGGTTTACTATACCATGCACAAGCTGTCAATTGACTCCATTAAAATATTTTTCCTCTATAGGAAACCATCTGGTTAAGGGATGTGTGGGAGACATTGGAGGCTCACTGTTAAAGCTGAATACAGGAGGTGTGTGTCGCGTACTTCAGAATGGCTTTGGTTCACTATAGAATGAGTCCTACTATGACATTTGTGTCTTACCCGTCTGATCAATGGATGAATATGAATCCTAACTGTCTATCTACACCATCAACATAACAGCCCATATATATAACAGTCTCCCATGAGGTGTGTGAGTGCGTCCGTCACTGTGTTCCTGCTTGTGTGTGTTTGTGTTTGTTTCTGTGTGTGCGTGTTACCTCTCTGTCTGCAGGGTAACCTTGGAGGGTTCTACGTTGGGGTTTTCCCACTCCATCTGTGGACAGTGCATGAAGTAGCAGAGGGTGTAGAGTGCCTCAGGCTCCCAGTGTACTGAGCTGCTCTTCTGGTGGATGGGCGTCCCGTTGCTTTGGTTCTTCACATGCAGCGGCTGGAGGTGGTGCAT